GGATTTGTCACCACAGCCTAGGGTCCCCTCCCGAAGATTCTTGGCGGCCGCTTGCAGCGTCTCACGTTATATCTTACTGGATATAGCGTCATTCACTTAAACGGGGTGTCGGTCATGGAGATCGTCGGCAAGGGTCTGACCGGTTGTCAGGTGGACCCGACAGGCGTTTCGTTCCGCCTCAACCTCGAGAGTGTCGACGGCAACCCGGCATCCGTGATCCTGCCGGTCGATTGCCTGCGCTCCCTGTTGATGACGCTGCCGAATGTGATCGAGAAGGCGCTGAAGGCGCGCTACCAGGACGACACGCTGAAGATCGTCTATCCGATGGGCGGCTTCTCGCTCGAGGCCGCAGCCGGCAGCGACAGCACCATCCTCACCATGAACACGCCCGACGGCTTCAAGGTCTCCTTTGCGCTGACGCCCGAGGACGCCGGCGGTCTCGCGACGTCGCTGGTCGGCATCGACATTGCGCAGCCGCGCGCCACGTTCAACTAGATGCCGGACGGGATGCAACGGATCGATTTCGGCCAGGCAGCCGAGATCAGCGGCGAATTGCTGCCGCAGGACAATGCCGTGCTGATCACCCTGGTCGGTCGCGACGGCGGGCGCTCGGCCCTCACCATCCCGGCGGCGGACCTGCAGCGTCTGGTCCCGCTCTGCTTCTGCTGGGCCGTGCGCTGCCGCAGAACGGGCCTTCCGATGCAGCGGAGCTCTCCCTGGTGCCGACGGATTCGCTGAGCGTCGGCGGCCTGCCGGGCGGTGAAACCCTGCTCGCCGTGGCGGTCGGTCCCGCCACGGTCGGCTTCTCGATGCCCGCATCGGCCGCCGAAAAGCTGGGACGGTCCCTGCTCCTCGCCGGCAGCAACGCGGCCGAGGCTACTTCAATACAGTGAAGCCCTGCTTCTCGAAGAATGGCTTGGCGGCTGGCGTCTTCAGGTAATCGACGAACGCCTGCGCGTCCGGGCTTGTCGAGGTCGACAGCAGCGCCATCGGATAGATGATCGCCGGATGCGAATC